ACCACAACTCATCATATCGTTATCTGTGCCGAAAACACCAACCTCATTGACCTTCTAGTTGCTGCGTACTAGCTGTTTCGGGTCACGTTTATACACACTGAAATTAGAGTAGAGAATTTCGTTTCCTTGATATTCTACTATAAGGTAAACAGACGGTTCCATCTAAACATGTTTGTCACCAGATTGAGATGTACATTCTCCAGGTACATCATAGGCCTGACACTGCTAGTTTTCCACACTCAGTAATCAGTTGTTAAATCGATACTTCCAGTTTTCCATACTCATTGACCACTTCCATATACAATATTTCCTCCACGCACTCTTCTTAAACAACATGTGGATAAAAACTCTACATTAAATTGTTTTCATCTCATGGGTTATTCAACATTTAGACAGTGACAAAATCCGATTGTGAAACAAAGGTTTTCAAAAACGTTAATATATAACTAATTTCTACTGTTCAAAACAACGTCACGTCAGTTTAAATCTTATGAATACGACTGTACACAGTCAATAAATGATAAAATCAATATGAAAAATTATCTACTGAACCAGAATTCGTTCTTATTCAGTGATAGGGTGGAGTTGTTTGGTTATCGCTCAGTAATTTGTTTGAATTTGACATAGTAACAGAAAATAAGAAGAAAATAATGGAAAATATTACTATCTTCAACACCTTGAACAAATCACAAATATTGGAGAGTGAATATGAGGTAATTTGAATTTTGTGCAACATACAAGTAAACACAGTATTGCACAAATAACTTAATGCAACATGTCAGTAGTCTAGGCATCAAAATTTCGTAACAAGGTTTCAACATCATGGGATCGATCCTTGTGAGGTCTTGGGTAAGTACAGCTGAACAGCTTCATACACCAACAAAACATCCATCCAGGGCGTTTTCATCCTCACTGATTGTCTATTTGAGACTGAGATGTGGTGTAATCTATGAGAGATTTTATTTCATGTGCTCAAATGTAAGAATTACAATTAACATCATCTTACACTAGACTATATATTTATCCTTTGAATAAATGCAGTTGCATACCGCGGTGACGTCATTTCTGTGCGAAAATAGACATAAATTCAATAATATCTGACGCACACACACACACACACGTACATGCACAAAGTGATTATTCAGTTTTGGCATGCAGTTGGAATGATCAAGAAATGTGAATCTTCATCCATATTGTGCGATTCACAATTACACAAACATAAAACTCACAAGTAATGAGTCCTATTCACATGCAATTTAATGGGTGAATAATAAAAACAACCACTGACAATGACTAAGTAACTACTATTCAGTGTGTCATAATATTAAATATGATCACTGACGTCATTAATCAGAAGTGGTAAGTTAGCATTGTTATTGATAATTCTGACACGTATTCACGTGCATCGGTTGTTTTTGTCCCATTGATTAGATTATTAATCTCAAAACTCAACAGAGACATTTCCATTACCAATAAATGTGCAATTCTCATCAGCATGACAAACGATTTTGCAGAGAAGAATGGTGAAATTCTGAACGAAACATTTGAAGAAATCAATCTAATTTGTAGTCGATTTCCGACTCAGAATGTATGAAGAATTATTGGATAATTCAACACACAGTTTATTATCAATAGTTCCAACCACATCATTATTGGTTGATTGCCTTAGTGTGCATTACATACAACGTCGTCATACTGATGTACTGTTACTCTGGAAACTGTTTATCTCACCGAATTACACATCGTCTAAAGCTGTGGCACTTCAATAATCAGTGTGAGCACATGGTCGATATTTTACTGTTGGTTCTCATAAGCAATAATGAAATACACGACTCGAAGCACTCTGATCCACATCGCTCAAAGCGCACACGCCATCCACACAACGTTCACACTTTATCACTATCGATAATTACAAGTGGCATTAAGTAGACTGTGATATCTTAATTGTGATATATGACAGTATTTTCCAGACACATTACTCACTTACCAGAGCAACCCTGATTCTCCTCAATTTTATTCATGTACGACGTCAGTTGTAACTACTTGATTGAAACACGTGTTTCTCGTGGTGTAACACATCACATAATTACGAGTATTTGAACACGTGACAATCAGTTTGAAGAAACGTCGTGAATACCATAAGATCACCATGAATCATGAGGTAAATACTGCGTCTCCGAATCACTGATTATCGGAATGTAGAGTGACTTCTATCTACTTGTCGACACAACGTCAAAAACTGGAAAGGTCACAAATTATTCATTGACATTAAACACTTATTATCACATAGACAGAATTTCCATAGGCGATTCTAGTACAGACACGTCCTATACGCATTGACTCGATATAAACATTCTCGACCCATGTTCTGTAGAATGGATGAATGTGATAATAGCAACATACTGATCAACAGAGTCAGTGAATCTCTAGACTCAGTTACTCAACAGATAACGTGTTGACGTTTGAAGTGACAGGTACTGGATTTGAATCATAGTGTAAAAATCAAAACATTAGAGTTCTGAATCGTCCAGCTGACCACAATTCACTTATTCTACTGTAGTCACAGATTGTTTGAAGTGATTTACTAGTACTGGTTTAGTTGATCAGAGAACACATATTTCATCAGTAGTTGGGATAATAGAAAATGTATCTATCGGTTAATAAACTTCACTTTAATGTTTGTGTTCTATTAACCAAGGTGTTATCAATAACTGACATATGTGATGTTAATACATACCGTTGAATGATATGAATGACTTGATTTTACTCATATTGATCATCATGTTTCGTTATCTGATTCATAAATTTGTGAAATTGTCGTCAAATCTTGTGTTATCTTAATGGAATTGTTAAATTTATCACAAAACATCAAAGTAAATTATAAGCAAATATCACTTAAAAAATAATAATAACTTAACACAATAATTTATGATTCAATCTAACTTATTTTCATTAGTCTCACGTTTACTATTATGGTTATTTTAAGGTGTCTTACTACATAAGTCACCATATTAATGAATTGCTTTTCTAGAAAATACTTATTTTATAGAATTTACACATTGTCTTCAATTGAGATTAATATTATATTCTTTTAGTTCATGACACTATTTTTACTTGGAAACATCATCTGAGCTCTTTGGTAAGTAGTCTTTAGTTGGAACTATAAAAATAATGAAAATTTCATTTTTTTTTTCTCTTGAACACATTTCGTATCTTTCGCATTTGGTTTTGACAAGTGACGATTGAATAGTTACTTAGTAATTAATGAAGAATATTTCGGTAAAAGTATAATATGTTGACTACTTCAGACCATTTATCTGCTAATCAAAATACCGTATTTAGTTATTAAATGATTTATTAAAAAAATAATGAAATTATAATCTATCACCGATTTCGGCGAAAATTAAGAATTAACAGTTATTTCATGGTTAAGAGTTATGATTAGGGTTAAGAGGTCTAAGGTTAGGAGAGTTATGGAGTTTAGGTTAGCGTAAAGAATACTTTTTATGCATACAATTACACTCGACTATGCATTGGCTCATATGAAATACGTTTAACTATTAATTGGCTTTCCAGATACTATCTACTTCAGGAGCACTCAGGATTTTCAGCTTACATATCGTGTGGCATTCATTGTGTGGTCGTATCTCAGATCTGTTTATCAATTTTATGCATCTCAAGAACTAAATATAGGCAATTCTTACTTAGATTCTAATTAGATGCGAGTTATCAATCTTCGTATTTGTTTTTTGCGTAAAATTCCAAGAAGCGATATCATAAATCTGATTCGTATATTAGGGTACCATACTTTCACCATTATTCTTTATTGATTATATGGAATTAATAAAGCTGCATCAAGCCTGTTGTATAAATGCATTAAAAAAATGTAAATTAAATGGCTTCGAGAGTTGTATATTAGTTATCTGCCTTTCGCTTAAAGCTTATGATTAATGCTTTTACGGACATCGTTCATCTGATAACACTGACCACTTTCACACACTTGGGTACTTTTTTTATAAATATGATATTCATTAATCACGATTTTAACAATATTTCGCGATCGTGAGTAGAGAATATTGAAACAATTTAGTTCAGTTTATAGATATATTTTACGACACTAAAGTTACGTTAACAGTTGGCTACACCAAAGTGTACGTAAAAAGAAAAGCTCAGAAAAATATTTCATATGATTGGACACCGTTCTCATTTATTACCTATTCGTTATGAAGCAATTTTGAAAGATAAACCATAATACTTTACTCATGGAGTTTTCGTTAAGTTGTTGAATAATGTATATTTTAATCATTATTCTTGAAATTCCTCCATATGAAAACGACAACTTCTTTTCACTTAGCCTAAAGGAAATCTGATTCTATCAATTTTAATTTCCTGAACATTTTCCAACTATTAATGAATGAGTTATTGATAATTCACAAATTAAGATCATGAATAGATCAATATTAGACCATCGTTGAAAACCTAGAAGCAGTGGATGACCTTTTCCTTCTAGTGTGGGTTCGAATCCTGTGCGCATGGTCGTAGATGCGCACTGTTCACGAGTCCCATACTAGGACGAGACGGTCGTTCACTGCCTCCGAATTTTCAATGGTTGTCTAACATGGATCCATTCATAATTTCAATCAAAACTCAACAACCTCCATAACCCTATACTGATCACTCACAAATTGGTTAACTTCAGTAAAAAACAAGACACTTTGAATAATGTAATCATTATGTTATCAAACATTTATAGTATTTCATGAATACTCATTATATCTTGATCAGTTTATAACACTTTCTAACTGTTTACTATTAATAATGTTAGAATTAGAAGTACGCTCAAAAATTCTTACTTCACTAGTCAAATTTCGTAATAAATTTGTAAAAATAAGAAAGTATTTCAATTAAAAATTATACAGTCTGAGATTTTGTGAACCATTATGGTATGATCAACAAAATGCCATTTACAAAGTGTATTTTATTTTAAAAATTTAACCTTAAAATAAGATTTAGCATAGAAACTAAGCGAAATTGAAGTATCTATAGTAAATTTATTCAATAATAACTAAACGAAGAAATTGTTACACGTGTAATGTGTCTTATTATACTTTTATCATTATTTTACTTCATTAATGAAATTCCAAAATAAATTTCTAAAAAAGAAAAAAACAAACTGTACAGTAAAAGGTGTAGTTGTGGTTAAAAGTGTTCATTCACATAACTAACAACAATGACTCTGATACTAGTACAACAACCAAATTGTATGTTTATTTTATTCATTAGTATACATACGCACAAACAAATTCACAAAACACATAAGTGTATATCAAAAAAAATTAAAACATAATAAAAACCCTATATAAGTACTGTGACATCATTTGATTATAATAAAATATAGAACTTAATTACTGCATAAAACTATTTAGTAAAAAAGGTAACGAAGTTTATAGATGTATACATTTATATCTAATAATTCAATTCATAGAGCTTGAGAACATTAAGCTAAAAAGTCAGTTGTCATTTATTTAAAACAAAGAAATCGGAAAGCCAGAAACAGTCATGGGAGAAAGCCGAAACACAAAAATTTTTATTCTTATTAGTTTAGCAATAATGATATGCTTTACAGTGGTAGCAATTGCTGAAGATAAAACCCTTACAGGTGAGTAATATATTATTATGAAGTGTTTTTAATTTCAATAAATTAAATTGTACTCAGAAAAGTGTGACATACTAGTAGTTGTATTGTTTTCATTTAAAGTATTTTAAAAAAAACTAGGTTAGGTTTTAAAATTTCTACAGTTAGATCCACAAACCAAATCTCTAATGAAAACTTGAGAGCACTAAACTACAGTTCCGTCCTAATCTGTAACATATCGGCAGTGCTTGTCCACAGCTCCTCACTTGGGAATCGAACCCAGGACTTTCAGTCTCCTGTAAAACATAATGTATTATTTTATGTAAAGTTGAATAAATAAGAAATATCGAGATAATTCTCTGAGTAAGAGCTTCAGTAAAGGTTAACTATAAACCTCATAAAGAACCAAAGAACTCTTTACTGTGTCTCAGTGGCTGTTATGCCGATAAATAATTTATTTCATTTGCATCACATTGAGTTTCTGTAACACTATTTTTTTGTATGTTAGGATTATATAATTTAGAATCTCACTAACTGATTAATTATTCAAATCACTAGTGTAACTAAAGCAGTGTACTGATTGTTTAATTAGTGCGATACAAGTTAAAGGTAATTGCTTTAATAGTAATTAATATATATTCGAACAACATACTGCAGAAAGCGGCTACCATCAAAGTGCTTGAACCATGTTAACCAGAATATATTCCAGTTGTTATGAATTGAACTAATTTAGAAGCTTACTTTTACCATTAAATGATAAGATGTATTTTAAAACTTGAAATCCAATTTAAAATTAAAACGTTTATTGCTATGCATAAACATCAATGCAATAATTTAGGCGGTTACATGATCAGTGATTTATTAAAATATTTTATAGTATAGACTGAAATAATAGAATCCTATTTTAATGTCATATTTGTTTTAATAAACGTTGTGGTGTTGAGATGGAACGAATATCAGTAATAAGGAAACATAAATATCATATGAAATCATTTTATTCTCAATATTTTTAATTAGTAAAATAAAAACGATCATCTTATAGTGTTTTACGGCTAAACAAAAATGTGTTAGTTTAATCACGGTTTCGATAGATCAAATTTAAAACTGAAAATCTATAATATTGTGCATAGTAACTTATCAATAAATTGTCAGGTTTATTATTATTTCTGTGTAAAATCATGTTTGTCACTACATTAACACATTTCCTATTATACAACAAGTTTACTAGCTTATAGTAAACAGGAGTTAGTTTCAAACGATATTAGGTTCAAAGTTCACAATATATTTTCATCATGAATGAAGTTTCAATCTCTTCACAATACTTTAGATATTTGTAAGTTCTAACAGTATTGAGCGTTAATTATCACCATTTAATAACACAATCACATCATAATGAATCATAGAAACAATAATTTTCCGCTAGTAAAATATTAATTGCTGAAATTAATGATAAGGTAAATTAGTCATTAATAGAATTCCTATGTAAAACCAACATCATTACAATAAACAGATTTACAAAATATTAAGATCAAAATAAATTCTCATTTGTTTGATTTTGATTTTTGATGTGTCGGAATTGAAGACAATGTGTAAATTCTATAAAATAAGTATTTTCTAGAAAAGCAATTCATTAATATGGTGACTTATGTAGTAAGACACCTTAAAATAACCATAATAGTAAACGTGAGACTAATGAAAATAAGTTAGATTGAATCATAAATTATTGTGTTAAGTTATTATTATTTTTTAAGTGATATTTGCTTATAATTTACTTTGATGTTTTGTGATAAATTTAACAATTCCATTAAGATAACACAAGATTTGACGACAATTTCACAAATTTATGAATCAGATAACGAAACATGATGATCAATATGAGTAAAATCAAGTCATTCATATCATTCAACGGTATGTATTAACATCACATATGTCAGTTATTGATAACACCTTGGTTAATAGAACACAAACATTAAAGTGAAGTTTATTAACCGATAGATACATTTTCTATTATCCCAACTACTGATGAAATATGTGTTCTCTGATCAACTAAACCAGTACTAGTAAATCACTTCAAACAATCTGTGACTACAGTAGAATAAGTGAATTGTGGTCAGCTGGACGATTCAGAACTCTAATGTTTTGATTTTTACACTATGATTCAAATCCAGTACCTGTCACTTCAAACGTCAACACGTTATCTGTTGAGTAACTGAGTCTAGAGATTCACTGACTCTGTTGATCAGTATGTTGCTATTATCACATTCATCCATTCTACAGAACATGGGTCGAGAATGTTTATATCGAGTCAATGCGTATAGGACGTGTCTGTACTAGAATCGCCTATGGAAATTCTGTCTATGTGATAATAAGTGTTTAATGTCAATGAATAATTTGTGACCTTTCCAGTTTTTGACGTTGTGTCGACAAGTAGATAGAAGTCACTCTACATTCCGATAATCAGTGATTCGGAGACGCAGTATTTACCTCATGATTCATGGTGATCTTATGGTATTCACGACGTTTCTTCAAACTGATTGTCACGTGTTCAAATACTCGTAATTATGTGATGTGTTACACCACGAGAAACACGTGTTTCAATCAAGTAGTTACAACTGACGTCGTACATGAATAAAATTGAGGAGAATCAGGGTTGCTCTGGTAAGTGAGTAATGTGTCTGGAAAATACTGTCATATATCACAATTAAGATATCACAGTCTACTTAATGCCACTTGTAATTATCGATAGTGATAAAGTGTGAACGTTGTGTGGATGGCGTGTGCGCTTTGAGCGATGTGGATCAGAGTGCTTCGAGTCGTGTATTTCATTATTGCTTATGAGAACCAACAGTAAAATATCGACCATGTGCTCACACTGATTATTGAAGTGCCACAGCTTTAGACGATGTGTAATTCGGTGAGATAAACAGTTTCCAGAGTAACAGTACATCAGTATGACGACGTTGTATGTAATGCACACTAAGGCAATCAACCAATAATGATGTGGTTGGAACTATTGATAATAAACTGTGTGTTGAATTATCCAATAATTCTTCATACATTCTGAGTCGGAAATCGACTACAAATTAGATTGATTTCTTCAAATGTTTCGTTCAGAATTTCACCATTCTTCTCTGCAAAATCGTTTGTCATGCTGATGAGAATTGCACATTTATTGGTAATGGAAATGTCTCTGTTGAGTTTTGAGATTAATAATCTAATCAATGGGACAAAAACAACCGATGCACGTGAATACGTGTCAGAATTATCAATAACAATGCTAACTTACCACTTCTGATTAATGACGTCAGTGATCATATTTAATATTATGACACACTGAATAGTAGTTACTTAGTCATTGTCAGTGGTTGTTTTTGTTATTCACCCATTAAATTGCATGTGAATAGGACTCATTACTTGTGAGTTTTATGTTTGTGTAATTGTGAATCGCACAATATGGATGAAGATTCACATTTCTTGATCATTCCAACTGCATGCCAAAACTGAATAATCACTTTGTGCATGTACGTGTGTGTGTGTGTGCGTCAGATATTATTGAATTTATGTCTATTTTCGCACAGAAATGACGTCACCGCGGTATGCAACTGCATTTATTCAAAGGATAAATATATAGTCTAGTGTAAGATGATGTTAATTGTAATTCTTACATTTGAGCACATGAAATAAAATCTCTCATAGATTACACCACATCTCAGTCTCAAATAGACAATCAGTGAGGATGAAAACGCCCTGGATGGATGTTTTGTTGGTGTATGAAGCTGTTCAGCTGTACTTACCCAAGACCTCACAAGGATAGATCCCATGATGTTGAAACCTTGTTACGAAATTTTGATGCCTAGACTACTGACATGTTGCATTAAGTTATTTGTGCAATACTGTGTTTACTTGTATGTTGCACAAAATTCAAATTACCTCATATTCACTCTCCAATATTTGTGATTTGTTCAAGGTGTTGAAGATAGTAATATTTTCCATTATTTTCTTCTTATTTTCTGTTACTATGTCAAATTCAAACAAATTACTGAGCGATAACCAAACAACTCCACCCTATCACTGAATAAGAACGAATTCTGGTTCAGTAGATAATTTTTCATATTGATTTTATCATTTATTGACTGTGTACAGTCGTATTCATAAGATTTAAACTGACGTGACGTTGTTTTGAACAGTAGAAATTAGTTATATATTAACGTTTTTGAAAACCTTTGTTTCACAATCGGATTTTGTCACTGTCTAAATGTTGAATAACCCATGAGATGAAAACAATTTAATGTAGAGTTTTTATCCACATGTTGTTTAAGAAGAGTGCGTGGAGGAAATATTGTATATGGAAGTGGTCAATGAGTATGGAAAACTGGAAGTATCGATTTAACAACTGATTACTGAGTGTGGAAAACTAGCAGTGTCAGGCCTATGATGTACCTGGAGAATGTACATCTCAATCTGGTGACAAACATGTTTAGATGGAACCGTCTGTTTACCTTATAGTAGAATATCAAGGAAACGAAATTCTCTACTCTAATTTCAGTGTGTATAAACGTGACCCGAAACAGCTAGTACGCAGCAACTAGAAGGTCAATGAGGTTGGTGTTTTCGGCACAGATAACGATATGATGAGTTGTGGTGATATGTAATCCGGTACTCAGGATTATGAAAATTACATCATGATTGATGACTGATACAGTATCGATTCACCTATTTCATGTTGACCGCATTCAACTCCAGCTGAAATTAAAATATCAATTGTTCTCGGATTGTCAGCGTACCGTTTCATACGAGATTTACTTAACATAGTGAAGAGGTTTACTTAATGATACATTTTTGCTTTGTTCAGAACATTCACACACTTCCATTTGTCCAGTAGAATTCCTGATGGATACGTGTCATTCACTGAATAAAAGCAAGACCGTGCACGAATTTCTAAAATAATTTCACGATTGACATCATTTATGTTATGTTATCTAACAGAATCCATATGTGACACCATATTTTGTAATTGGCAGCAAACATACTGATTATATACGCACATATTGACTTCAGTTTAATAATTTCTCATTATTTTGTGAATAGTGAAAAGACTATTCACCTTACTAAACAGCGATGATTGAACAGTAAACTAGATAATGCTAATAATATGTGATTGGTAGTATTTATGTGAATTTCTGGTATGGAAGTACTGATTCAATGGAATTTAGAAGAGCAAACTAATGAGCGGATTGCTTTAGAAACCGTCAATAATTAATAGTCAGTCATCCTATTTGTTATTACTTAGTGATCAATCGATGTATGCGTACAGTGCACAGTGTATCAATAATGTACACTTTGAAAATTATTAAAGCGAACTGTTTTCAAGGTTAAATTCCACCGTATTTAAATTGCTAAAGTCACTCATCAGGTTAATGAATAGACTGATGATAATTTACCAAAGAACATTTTCTTTCCAACGAAGTTGGTTACTTAATTTGTACGATCGTATTTATGAAGGTTTCGGTAAACCTATGAGTGTATAGAAGAATAGAAAGAATTTACATTTTTTAGTGTTCTGTATCGTTAGTATCCAAAAATGGTTGCATTTTTCTAACCAACAAACTATTTTCGTCCTCTTATTCTTCTCTGATATCTAAATCGGTGTGCAACGCTCAATGAATACTTGAGATCTCAGAACACTTCACAATGTAACCGCTTTCTATCCTTCTGTGCACACATATGTTTTTAAAATCACAATCTATGCGATTGTATGGCATAAATGAATGATTTATTTGAGAAAACTCTTTTTCCCCGAATTTCCTTTGTTCTGTTGGATTTATTCGAATATATGTTAGTTTGAAATACAGTAGTCATCTTTTATTGCTTAATTCCACAATATACGTACTATTTATTCATGTTGATGTTCAGTTTGTTTTTTTATTGAATTAATTAATGAGTAAACCGTTTCTTCTAATTTCTCGTCAGTGTATTGTTACCACATTTTCCTAGTACACATGGAAATGCTCATTTTTTTCGTTTACTGTTAAAAGCCGAACATAAATCAAATTCCTTGAAAGCATTCCAAGCATTCTACTTCCTCGCTCTCATCGCTTTCATTGTGGGGCTCGTGCTATATGCAGTGACTATTTTCGTAGAACCTCGAAAAATCTTGAGCATTGGATTTTTCGTCGCGATTGTATTAGGATGTAAGTAATTTTTACAGGTATTGTTATAACAGTCTACGATACCATTGTAGCGATAACATGTTGAGACAATTGTGTTGTTCGTGGATTGATGATAGGTTTTAATTATTGCATTTACTTTGTTTTTCTAGTGACCGACTCTACTCATTCGACAGAAAAACATTTGAGTGTTGTATTTTAGTGACATTGGCGAAGTTATAATGAGGACTAAATGTTTCTGACTGGTTCGTTTAGAATAATACAATTGTACATTTGTAGTAACTGAAAATTTTTACAGCATGATTATACAGGCTAGTTGATCGGTTGCTAGTTCTGCGACGAACAGAAAAGTAAATGAAGACTCAACGTTCCCACCAACTGATCAAACAAATGCGTTCATTTTCATCAGAAATGGATGGTGACTAGCAGTGAAATCCAGGATGCACGTTTTATACTATTCGCGTTTCGTCAGCTGGATGTTCCAGCAGCCGAATTCATGTTCATTCCGAAACTCGAACCATGTGCATTCCAGTTCAATAGCGATCACGTTAGCCATTGAGCTGCTGAGTTCTGAATTACACTGCTAGCCGCCACCCATCTCTTCTTAAACTGCTTGTAATTTACTGGTAATGTCAAGTCAATGCACATAGAATGAACGTACGCCGAAAGACTGATCAACTGCAGTCCTAAATATCGATGGCGACATCCAAACAACCAATATATATGAGTTAAAATTATTTGTTATTTGAAATCTAGAAACAGACCATATTGTTAAACGAAATTCTGGAATTTCCACAGTTGAATCTATCATTCTTTAGTATTATATATTTTAATGACCATACCTATGCAGTTGTCGTTATTTATACTAAGCATTTATAATAATCGGCTACTACGCCATCAGAATCAAGTGAATCTTTATCACAGGCATTGCTTCTTCATATGACGAAATTACACCCCTTCAGATAACAAATAACCCACTTCATCACCATTATATCATTTTTATACACGGCTGCATAATTTCAAGCGAAACCGTAATACTCAGTGACATCCAGCCTAGAATAGCAGACAAATCAACCAAATTCTTCAGATTATCGACGAACTCAATGTCACTTCCAAGTTTGATAATATTCACATTATTTGTCGAGTACAAGAAAATTAGAATATAAATAATGTATTATGAAGACTTATAACAAACGCTTTACAAAAGATAACGATGAATCCACTAGTCTTTTGAAATACCAAGAGTTTCTCCCTTTATCTGGTACTATCGCTCATGATCATTTAGGCATTTTCTGGAAAGTATAACTCAAGAAAGATAGCTCACCTGTTATAGTTAGTACTGATTAGTGAGGATTTCAAACTAGTTAACTACTTAACGATAAATTGTTGGATTATTCTGTTGTTTGTTCAGGTATATGCTGCATTATCAGCGTGATCATGTATTATCAAAACTTTTCCAACTCTTACAACGCGAGTGTTCGGCCACATTCCAGCTCATGGTTACTCGGTGTTATTTTGGCTTCGGTTCAGCTCGTTGTGTTCGTATTCATGTATATTATCTATTGAGAAGTGATTGGTTTTCATATTTACAAATCATGGATGTTATGAAGATGGAACATTATTTACGTAGTATTAAACTTAATTAAATGAATACATTTGATAAAACTTCAGGTTTTTCATACAATTTTATTTTGATAAATCATAAAATTTCATGAATGAAGTAAACAAAAATATTTCATGAATGTCATCAGCAAATGTTTTTGAAGAAAATCGGTTTATTTATCTTAAGTCTTATTTCGATTAAATTCGTGAGATCAGTTGTAACAGACTGAGTTAACTAAAATATGACGTTCAGCAATCAATCATTCATTAATAATAACTCAACAAAAGGTGAATGTCGAGTTAAACATATAAACCTCTATAGAAGATCCGTAACAGGAATATTTCACAAGAAACAATTGAAGAATAAGTGTCTCATAAGAAATTAGTTTATTTTCCTGCAATGTGTTCATGTGTGCATCATAAGAATGTTATTTAACGGATTTAGTATCATGAGAAAACTGTAGTTCTCTCCGGAAGAAGGAAGTAGATTTTCTATAAATGATAAATCACTACCGGAAAATTTTGTTCTAAAAGGATGGAAGACATTAAGAATTCTTATAAATTAGAAGTGTTCCTATGTTGTTAATCACAATTCACTGAACACATTTATCCAGTACACTTCATGTTGTTTAAATCTTCCACGAAGACACCAAATTCAAATTCATTTCTATAACACTATATTCGATGATCCATTTTGTGGCGTACTAGTTAAATGAAGGTTAAATCGAACTATGGATGCGAATGAATTCCTAGTGAAATACGCACTTGATTCACACAATGTTAACCAGTTGTAACAGCTTGAGCACTAAAATCCTAGTAGAATATTGGACGCCATTAGTTAATCAGTTTTTAGATAAATTTGCCCTAATCTCACCGATGTTTAGGTTTCGTAACATTATCTTACAGCGAATGAGATTTAAGACTGACATTAAACTAACTGGGGGCTAATAGTCGAAAAAATATGTTCGGATAGAAACACATATTGATAAGTTATCGTCTGAGGATGCTGTGTCAAATTATTTTCAGAAGGGATATTCATATGATGAGTGATTTTTAATTCAGTACAGAAGTGCTCAAGAGGTGATGGTTACCGAATTTCAATATTATGATTACAGTTTTATTCTCTCTGAAGATCTCACAATCATATTTGAGTAAAATGATAGCTTCGCTCTATCAAGTTGCGTTGAGGAGATTCATAATAATTAAAATGAAAACATGTGTTCAGGAATCTATGAACGGATAGTTTCATAGCGATTAGACCCCGAGTTATTTACAGACATCAAGGAGGAAAAATCAGTTGAAAACCTGAGACTTTTACAAATATGATTGCCTCTCCTTACCGTTCAAGAATCGTTTTAATATAACAGATTAGTAATATTGCTACTAATTTGGTGAATGCATGTGTTTACCAATCACGTATTAATTAATCATTCTATTTGTATATTCAGCTGAACCATCTCGGTGAGGTCGGTGCGAGACATGAAATAGATGAGTATATTACAAATATCTAGTCACGAATACCTTCGGTACGTCGTTTGACTGTTGTCAGAAAAGTGAATGTGTAGTGTTAAGACTAGAAGTGGAATACCAAATATGAGAGAAATCACGCGAGGAGATTATGGTGTGTGAGAATTATGTTTCTTACACTTAGCTATGGTCTCCCTCAATGCACTATGTTCACTCCAAGAAGAGGGGGGTGGGGAAAATGTATATTAGTCAAGTTAAGACAAAGTGCCAGTCTAAATCATCTGACCATTAGGATGCAGAATATGGGTGATGGTAGGCCGGCACATGAGCTCACAATAAAACCTTACAAGCCCAGTGGTGAGAACAATACCACTGAACTGTTAAGTTAAATTTTACCATGCCCTAATCCCTACTTAGATAGATTTCCAATATCACGCCATCCTCAGTCAGTGACAAGTAAATGGTCGGTCCGCGACCCCCGAAAACGCCTTATACTGGTAACTATCATGTGCTTACTAGTGAAAGGAAATTTTCGTAGTTCTAGTGGAAAGCCGTAACCAGTATCAATCAGTCAGTCAGCTACAATGTAGGACCAGGCACATATATGCATCAGTTAAAGTTGCCATAACTCCTCCTGGAGCCCTTTTGAGGCTACTGCCGGTCTCAAGCCCGGATAAAGGAGGAGGGTTGGGCATGGGGTTAGCGACCCCATCCCGTAGAAAATTAACTCGCTAAAAATACGCTAACCATAAAAAATTATTCAGACCATTTAAACTCCACCCTGGGAGTCAGGAGATCTTCGTTTAGAAGAATTATGACGCCTCACGATGAAAGCCGAGTTTCTTCGGAAGTCACGAGGCCGATGCCCCTTCCGACAACCTGAGCAACCATTTATTTAAATACATGGAATGCTCGCACAATGTGGGAGACTGAGAGAGTTTTTCAAGTTGCTGCAGAAATGAGAAGATACAACCTAGAGGTGCTTGGGATCAGTGAAGCACATTGGACGCAAGTTGGACAACAACGACTAGCCTCAGGGGAGCTGCTGTTATACTCCGGACATGAAGAAGAAAATGCCCCACATACACAAGGAGTTTAATTGATGCCGTCCAAACAAGCACAAAATGCACTTATAGGATGGGAATCTCATGGACCAAGGATCATCAAAGCCTCCTTCAAAACAAAGAAAGAGGCATTACAATGAACGTCGTCCAATGCTATGCGCCTACCAACGACTACAATGAAAACTTCAAAGATCATTTCCACGATAGGCTACAGTCAGTCGTCGAGAAGTGCCCAACAAAGGACTTGATCATTCTGATGGGAGACCTAAATACACAGGTTGGAATGGACAATACCGGACGTGAATATTTCATAGGATAACATGGACTGGGAGGAAGGAATGAAAATGGTGAGAGATTTGCAAGCCTATGTGCCTTCAATAAACTTGTCATAGACGGCACTATATTCACACACAAATGCATACACAAAAGCACATGAACTTCACTGGATCACACCACGCAGAAGCAAATAGACCATATCTGCATCAACAAAATGTTCAGGAGGACGATGGAGAATGTGAGGACCAAAAGAGGAGCTGATATGGCGTCAGATCATCACTTACTGGTCGCCAAGATGAAACTGAAACTCAAGAAGCACAGAACAACGGGGCGGACAACATCAAAAAGTTTAATACGGCTTTTCTTCGAGATACTCACAAACTCAACAAATTCAAGATAGCCCTCAGCAATAGGTTCCAGGCTTTTCATGATTTACTCATTGAAGAGGGAACTACTATGGTAAACAACTGGAAAGGGTTAAAATAGGCAATCACTTCAACATGTCATGAGGTCCTGGGCCACAAGAAGCACCACCACAAGGATTGGATCACTGTTGATACACTGGATTAGATTCAAGAAAGGAGGAACAAGAAGGCAGCAATCAATACCAGCCGAACAAGAGCAGAAAAGCCAAGGCACTAGCTGAACACACAGAAGTAAACAAGCAAGTGAAGAGGAGCATCAGAACTGACAAACGTAAATATGTGGAAGATTTAGCAATGAAGGTGGAAAAGGCTGCAAGAGAAGGAAACATGACACAACAAAGAAACTCTCTGGAAATCACCGTAAACCAGAACGACCATTGAAAAGCAAGGAAGGCAAGGTAATCACCAAGATTGAAGAACAAGAAAACAGGTGGATAGAACACTTCAAAGAACTCTTGAATCGACCAGCCCCACTGAACCCACCCAACATCGAAGCAGCACTCACCGACCTCCCAATTAATGTTGGCGCACCGACAATTGAAGAAATCAGCATGGCTATCAGACAAATCAAGAGTGGCAAAGAAGCAGGACCAGACGTCATTCCAGAAGAGGCACTAAAAGCAGATGTAGCAGTAACTGCAAGGATACTCCACATTCTCTTCGTCAAGATTTGGAATGAAGAACATGTACCAACAGATTGGAAAGAAGGACACCTCATCAAGATACCAAAGAAAGGTGATCTCAGCAAGTGTGATAACTACAGGGGCATCACTCTTCTCTCAGTACTAGGAAAAGTCTTCAATAAGGTATTGTTAAACAGAATGAAGGACTCCGTAGACGACCAACTTCGAGACCAACAGGCTGTATTCCGCAGGAATCGATTGTGTATAGACCAAATCGCAACACTGTGTATCATTGTGGAACAGTCAATCGAATAGAATTCCTCACTCTATATCAACTTCATTGAATTCGAGAAAGCATTTGATAGCGTGAATAGAACGACACTATGGAGGCTTCTTCGACACTACGGCATGCCTGAGAAGATAGTCAAGATCATACGGAATTCCTATGATGGGTTAAACTGAAAAATCGTACATCGAGTACAGTTGACAGGTTCGTGTGAGGTGAAGACCGCTGTCAGGCAAGGTTGCTTACTCTCACTCTTCCTCTTTCTCCTGGTGATCGACTGGGTCATGAAGATATCAACATCTGAAGGTAAGCACAAGATACAGTGGACATTTAGGATGCAGTTGGACGATCTAGACTTCGCAGATGACCTGATTTATCGCAAACGCATCAACAAATGCAGGAGAAGGCGACCAGTTTGGCAGCAGTAGGTCTCAACATACACAAGGGAAAAGCAACATTCTCCGATACAACACAACATGCACCGATCAAATCACACTTGATGGAGAAGATTTGGAAGATGTAAAAACGTTTACGTGTCTGGGCAGCATCATTGATGAACACGGTGGATCTGATTCAGATATGAAAGCGCAGATAAGCAAAGCAAGAGCAGCATATATACAGCTGAAGATTATCTGGAACTCAAAACAACTGTCAACCAACACCAAGGTCGGAATTTTCAATACAAATGTCAAGACAGTTCTACTGTATGGGGCGGAAACATGGAGAACTACGAAAGCCATCATCCACAAGATACAAGTGTTTATTAACAGTTGTCTACGCAAACTACTTCGTATCCGTTGGCCAGACACTATCAGCAACAAACTACTAAAGAAGAGAACAAACGAGATCCCAGCGGAGGAATAAATCAGGAAGCGTTGGAAGTGGATAGGCTATACATTGAAGAAAGTACACAACTGAGCCACAAGGTAACCAATCACTTGGAACCCTCAAGGCCAAAGGCGAAGAGGAAGACCAAATAACGCATTACGCCGAGAAATGGAGACAGACATGAGAAAAATAAACAAAAAATTGGAAAGAACTGGAAAGGAAGGCCGAGGAAAGAGTTGGTTGAAAAAAGCTGGTCTGCGGCCTGTGCTACATTGGGAGTAACCGGCGTAAGTAAGTAAGCAAGTCAAGTTTCCATACCGCATTATCACAACAAGATAAACACCGGATTCATAGAAGTAGTTAATTCAAAGGTGTTAATATATAAAAGAAAGATTGCATATAAGGATATGATACAGGAAGAAAGAATCAGTTCGTTGAATGCATAAAGTAATCATAGTTTAAGGGGAGACAAAGAGTGTACACACCTACACTATTGTGATCGATTTTGAGTCGTGTCACCAAGAGTCTCCAACCACTGGTTACGATAGTCACACAGACCCCAACCAAGTAGTCTGCATCTACCAACATGGCTAAGACTAGAAGTTAGTGACTTCAAGCACTGATGCCACGTTTCGGTTTGGCCGCCCCTAACTTTCTTCCAACCATTCTGAACACTAGTCAGCATTGCGCGTCGTGGTAATCGGTGTTCAGGGATACGTAACACGTGGCCTAACCATCTCAGTCGATAAAGATTCACAACCTCATCAACTGATTTACCATCATTCCCTAATACCCTGCGTCTAACCTTACTATTACTTACCCGATGATCCCAGCGGATGCGAGCAACATTTCTAGGGCATCTGTGGTCAAATACTAGTAAGTTACGAGTATCTTCTACTCTTAATGGCGATGTTTCGCAGCCGTAAAGTAGAACAGAACGAACTGCCAAGCAGTATACTCATCCCTTAATTGATAGATGGATATCTCGCCTTCGCCATAGGTGACGTAAGTTGGTAAAAGTCAGACGAGCTTTCCGAATCTGTGTAGAGATTTCGTCAGACACTGACCCATTAGGGCTGATCAGACTTCCAAGATAAGTGAAGTTGTCAACGCGTTCGACTACTTCACTCCTGATCCTTAGTTCAGGTGTTGACGCAGACCAGTCCTGAAGCAACAGCTTGCATTTAGAGGGGGAGAAGCGCATCCCAAACATCCTGGCATTGTTGCTCAGTGCTACCAACAGACACTGGGTTTTATCAGTGTCTTCACCTAACAGGACTATATCATCTGCGTATTCTAAGTCGATAAGTGAACCTCCTGGTAGGAGATCAATGCCCGGAAATCCAGTCGATGAGAGCGTTATTTCCATCAGTATGTCTATGATGAAGTTAAACGAAAATAGAGAAAGTGGACAGCCTTGCCAGACACCACTTGAGGTTGCAAAAGCAGATGAAAGTTCGCCGTAAGCTCTCACCCGACTAGTAGTGTTCGAGTAAAGAGCCTTCACATGGTTTATGTACTTCTGAGGTACGCCTTTCAATGACAGACACTGCCACAGAACCTCTCGGTCTACAGAGTCAAATGCTGCTTTTAAGTCAAGGAAGACCACCATTGTCGGACACCGATAAGCATGTCTGTGATCTAAAACCTGACGAATGGTGAATACGTGGTCGATGTAGCCACGACCAGGTTTGAAGCCAACCTGATTGTCTCGTGTTTGCAGTTCACGAGTCTTTGTTAAACGTCCGACAATTATTGAGGCTAGTATTTTAGATGCTGTATTGGTCAAACTAATCTCTCTATGGTTATCACAGGATGATTTGGACCGCTTCTTATATATTGGGACAATCAGTGACTGCGACCAGTCAGATGGAATTACATTCAGTTCCCAGAGTTAGCTAAAATATTAGTCAATCTAATCGCTAAAACTGGACCATCATACTTAAGGACCTCTGGAGCCAATCCATCTGGACTAGCTACCCTTTCTCGTTTCAGACTACCTATAGTTTTTTTTGAACTTCAATCAGAGTCGGAGGGCTTACTTCAATGTTTCATTCAGGCTGTCTGGGAATGGTTGGTAGTTGTAGAGTAGCTGAAGGCCAGCTGAAGTGCTTCTTAAAGTGTTACGATCATCGTTCTAAACGTCTGGACTGGGAGCAGATTAGGGTGTCGTATTTTTCCGAGATAGTCTCACTTACACTTGACTGTTTAATTCCAGTTTCTTTTATGAGTCCGAAGAGCTGTCTGGTGTTATCTATAGCCGTCGCCTTTTCCATCTCTTTTGCTTTCGTTACCCACCACTGCTCACGATCATTCCTTAGACTTTTGGTTAACCTAGATCTGATTTGCTTTCGTTCATCATTGTGTTCAGAGCCTGATGAGTCTGCGGTAACCTGTCAGTGTAAAAGATTTGGAACAAATCAATCGGTATTTTATGACCCTTAGGTTTAAATCACTAACAGATTTCACTGCTGTTTTTTATATCTTTCCAGGCAACATTTGGGCCAGCCTCATTTTCAGAACTACTTATCTGTGACCCCAGTTGTTCCTGGAATCTACATTCGGTTTTCTCATCACTCAATTCAATTCTGATAGGTCTTCTTAATGTGGCTTTCCTGCGTCCAGCAGATGCGTGCTCGTATTAGGGCATAGTTGGAGTCCAAGCAGGTATTCCAGAACGAGCGACAATCTTCTATCGACCCTCTCCAACGATGACTGATGGCAATTTGGTCTATTGGAGTCCATCATTCGTTTGGTGCAGAGGGTCGCCAAGTTAGACGATGTGCTTAAAATTAGTGTTTGCTAAAAATAAGCGGTTGTCTGAGTACAGTTGCAGCAGACGATCACCATTAACATCTCGCTGAACTGGGATATTAGAATACCCACCTAAATGTCTTTCTGTTTCGTTTAAGCTACCTACCTGGGCATTAAAGTCACTTGCTACGAGTACTTTGTCTGAGCGTTTAGTTTTCTGAAGAAGTTCAGAAAGCTTTCTGTAAAAGTCATCTTTCACTTCATCCGTACTGCAGTCAGTGGGAGCGTTGGCAGAAACGACGAAAAGGCAACGACGTGTGTCCCTATCTTTCCGGGTTTTTACTGAGCCTTTTATCCGAACAGCGCATAGACGACTGTTAACGAGGATCCACTCTAATAGCTCCTGTTCCGCCCTCATGCTTAGTGCTATGCCCACACCTGCCAGTCTACGAGAACTAGCCATCGGGTCGCCAGATACACGGAGTGTGTATCTCGTCGGCTCTCCGTTTTGCCGAGGTGCGGTCAGGTGAATGACCACACTAGGATCCTGTATGCATGTTTCGGAGACAGCACACATCAATGGTACGAGATTCTAGAGTCTCAGCCAAAGAGGCCTGCTGACCGAGTTGACATAGGGTGCGTACGTTGAAGGCTCCAATGTGTAGTTTTCAGCGAAGTTTCAGTAGACTTTGGACAGTGTTTTGCGCACTAGAACCGTTGGCTATGGTGACAGTTGAAGAGGAAGTTTAGAGTTGAAAGTCGATGTAGGAGGAATAATGGGAATTGAAGAGAGAGGTTGATTATGAATACAGTGGTCTTGAGTGCTGTTAGAGGTATGAGGGCGGTTATCACTTCCCAGTTGCCCACACCGTGGAAGGGTTCTCCTGGAGGTACCTGAAAAGTTAATTGGATTAGAGCTGGTCTTAGTGACATGGGAGCGTGACCGCAGTGCCCAAGGGATAGCTGCTTGAGGTCGGTCACACACGACCTTTTTATGAGTAATTTTTGTGTTAGCTCCGTACTTGTTGAGACCTTACCGCCGGAGACGAATATCCGTGGAATAAGGCAAGGTGTGCATTTTTAGGGTCGACCTTTTCTAACCCCACCCCTCCTTGTGGGAAGGCAGCATCGCTGTTTAGCTGGTTTTCTGAAGGAAACACCTTACTGCTGTCACACCTCTGTACAGTCAGCAGTACGACTTCGCCTTCGGACCTTGGTTTCGCTGCTTTTAGTTTTACCGTTCTTCAACCGACCTGTCTGATATGGTAGGACTTTGAGGAACGTTTGTTCCAGCCAGTATACCTCGATTGGTTCATCACGATAGGCAAGCCCAACCACCACACCAAGGTATTAACAACCAGTATATTCTAAGTGAATCGAATGTGAAGCAGTTATCCAGTGATGATGAACGATGTTTATACAGAATGGTTGAAGTTATATATGAAAACCATTGTAAGCTAGTTCAGTGATCTAAAGGCAAGTTGCGAGAGTTCTTGCTTGAATCTCTGGCGTGGTCGTGGATGCACATTGCTGAGGAGTCATATAGTAGAACAAAATACCTGTCCAGTGCCTCTTTGTTTTTAATAGTTACACAAATTAATTAGGTTCATGATCTCGGTGTCAACTAAACTGGGAGTGAGACAGGAAAAAAAACAACGTTTACTCAATAATTTGATAAATGTATGCAGACATAACATAATCCTACCGTACAAAGCTGGCATGTCCTGACTGACTTCCACTTACCCAGCTTTTTGTTCTTTTACTTTACAACATGGTTATTTCTCTTTCATATCTGTTGATATGAAGAAACAACACAAATGAAAACAAAGTCTGTCATGATATATTACTGATATTTTATTAATTAAACTATAGCGAATTCGAGTATGTACATTATTTCATATTAACAAGTGACTCTCATCAGACGATGTACAATAAATAATATCCCATCGTTTGGTCTACGCATTGACTTGTTCATTCACTTTTCTCTTTATTATGTATGTTCTGCTCTAATTTGTCAAACTGTTCTTTAGATACCACATCTAATTCATCTTCAACTTGTTCGACGCCTAATACGTCTGGTATATAGAACTGAAGCATATTCTGTACACCATTTTTCAAAGTAACTACGGAACTAGGACAACTTGAGCAAGATCCTTGTAGTTTTAATCGCACTATACCATCTTTAAAATCCTGAAAAACAGATGATACAGTTTAGGAATTTTATAGAAAAAACAGATAAATACGAAGACGTCTACCATCAGGAAAAATGAAGTTATCAACGCGTTCAACTACTTTGTTGTCTATGGTCAGTTTAGGAGCTGATCCGGACCAGCCATGAAGCCGTATTTCGCATTTATAAGGGGAGAAATGAACTCTAAACTTACTTGTATTGTTACTCAAAGTGTTTATAAGACTGTAATTTGGTAGGGTTTTCACCAAACTGAACCACGTCGTTTGGGTAAGTGGATCTCCTAATGTGACTATTTCAAACGGAATGAGGAGCCCTCTGATAATTTATATATTTGTTTGATACACCTCATAGTGGCAAGAATTACAAATAAACCTACAGACCCCCGAGCTCGAGTCCCAACTTTAAGTGAGAGAACATGATTTAAGTCTGTGGTCAATATATGTTTCTGCGTTGTAAAACGTAATGAAGGCTTAAGATTTGCACAACACATCAACAATCAAGTCTAAGCCTGTTTTTTTTAAATTTGCAGTGTTCCTTGCTCCATTCAGACGTCGAATGATTATAAAAGCTAATATTTCAGTCACATTCATCCCTCTGTGGTTATCACAAGAGGAATTTAATATTTTTTGTGGTTTGGAATGACCAGGGGTCAAGATCATTTAGGAGTGATCGCGTTCAGATACCAGATTTTAGCTATTATTTTAGCCAGCATAAGTGGTATAATTGCAGCACCATACTCAACTCCGGGAAAATACAACTCGAGTATCCTTAGGTTATTAATCAAGATGCTCAGAAAACGTATTATCTTAGGTGTCATACCATACAGAACCATGTCACCTGTGTAGTCTTAGTCAGTAAGTGGATTTCGTTATATTCTAATGAAGATTAAATTACGGGTAACTTCTGAGATCTGTTAATGGATTAACATTATATAAGTTCCTATTGTATATATATTCCTCTTATTATAAGCTTCATTTTGACCTATAGATTATTACTGTGCGATTTGCTGTTCTCCCACGTTCACAGCCATTCTTTGGCTTGATCTTGTATAGAGGTTATTTCCCAATTTATGGTATGATGTGTTCTGTTTGGCTGGTATATAAACCAAGTATGTCTGAAATAAATTATTCGCATGGTGGAAGCTGTTATTGATGTTCTGGACTCAACTGGACAGGCTAGGGGAGCAAAGGACCAACAAGGACGCTAGGCTGATCAGATCGGTCGAACGTCATTGGTTTAGTACAGTACAAGAGTGAATAAGTCGTATTTCGATTGGCGAATAAATTACGTGATTACTAGCCGACCTAAAAGTCGCAACAAATTTACTGGTAGAGCAGACTAAGAAAGCATTTTCAACCTATGAAGTCACTAAGTGGTATAACGAACTTAGTGCTGTATAGAATTATGTTCAGTGTTATGAGTATATCATTAAAAATTTGTTTCCAGTCTAAATAAGTGGGCCGACTTCTTATGCTTTCCTCACAGTTAATAAAAAAAACGAAATAATTTGAAATACGGTGACAGTAATGCATTTACAAATCACACTAAATGGAATATTATTAATGTCATATATGCAAACAAACGCCAAGCTATTATTTGTCTAAACAAAGACAAAGAATAATACACTACATGAATATCTAAAATATGAGATTACCTTAAAAATAATATCACCGCCGTCTTCTTGAACAGTGGGTCTTATTCGGGTATCCAGTAGTTCTTTTATCATTAATACCGTTTCATCTTCTTCATCACAGGTTTTATCTGAAATTGGAAAGTTAAATTTCTACACAACTACAAAACACGAGTAAAGTTATAGAGAACTGAAATTCGAGTTTTTTACAGAAACTATTTAAAATAACCGTCCTCCAGTCATAAGTACCAAGATATTAGTAACACATAGTTTCTCAAGGCTGAAAGATAAGTAACATTTGTCAACGTCAAGGACATTATAGTTTATAAGTTTTCGGAAACTACCATTTTAGCATTCGGAAGTATGGACAAAGAGAATAGTTGAAAGTTTACACATATTAACCTTTGCTGGAAATGATATGATAATAGATCCTATAGATTACCAATTATTTAATAGCAACGAAACTGATTAGTGTAAAAAATTCAAATAGGAAGTTTTTGTAATACTAACTGGTTGATTTTTTTTGAGGATTTCAACTACTGAACTCATATCCTTGAAAAATTCTTCAGAATACATAGTATATAAATAGTAATTAACCTCCTAAAAGTTATGCCACGATTAAGAGTATATGGACGACTGACTAAAAGCTTTTCTCCAATTAACAGAAAAAGAGCTGATGTAAAATTGAGATGTCAGGTATAGAAGAATAAGTTTGCGTAACACCGCTTCCAAAATTTCAGGTTTCAAGAACATTTAGTAGCTGCATGGAGCTCATCAATGTAAAGAAGTAAAGCAGCAAGATCAGATTTTCGTCGGATTTCTTACCTAAACCGTTATCACAAAGCAGGATTTCGAATAAGGAATTAATTCTATCCATATTTTTTGGTAGTGAGAAAATAATTCGACTGTCCTTAGGAAATGCTTTGCGTAATTGGCTGATTATAAAGAAAAGGAACACCAAAAGCTTTTTCATTCGAAACTAGATAGCCACGAAAGGGTTAAATAAACATTGTAATCTAATCTAACGACAGGAAACAGTGTTCACACGTCAGTTACTACAATTCCATGTCAACGTTTTTAAACACCTACGTATGTGGATATGTTTATCTTTGACGTTTTAAGGACGGTTCCTCTATCATGAGGTCCTCACGTTGACGAAAATTATGAGAATGAAATACTTCAATTACATGAAGACTATGAAAAAAATAATTAAGTATTTAGTTATTTTAAGATTTTCTGTAAGTTACAAGAAAAGCATTTCAGGACTGCTTGACATCAGTACTGAAATGTGATTTGAAAACGCTTTTTATTTCATTTTTGGACAAACACACAGAAGCAACCATCGGATGATATTAGAAGTAATTATTAATGAACATTGAGGATTGTTAAAATAAGTGATGTCGTTAACGGTAAACCAGTTGAGTGCATACTGACGAGTAAGAGCCACATGGAACTACGAATTCCTGATACTTAACACATGTTAGAACATTGAAAGTACGACAAACTAAAAGGTAATACTTGACGTTTGAAATATTTTAAAATTTAAATATCAACAAAAATGACAGTCAAATTACTGTATATCGCAGTATCTTACTCAAGTCTTGTGCTTTTTCTTCACTGACAACAGGTTGTCCAGAACTGTAGAAATCCATTATAGTTGCATATACATCAGGTTTTATCACAGCCCATTCAAAGTCGTCATTCTACCACTTGTCAGATTGGAAAAATCATAAACCGACCTTAGTAATCGTGATGAAATCAGGACCAAAGAAGACTCGTTCAACTCCTTCGATTCGAAACAACTGTCTAAAGTTTTCAATAATTTAAAATAACTCGCACCTAGCCAATGGGGAAGACGTGGATTGTGTGCAAGATGGAAAATCTCTAGTACCAGAACCTAGTACAGGTTTACCAGGGAAATATTTTAAGCTGTTAGGATTGGGAGTTTCTTGGACTTGAATAAATAATTTCCTAATCCCTGATAAAACATTACAAGGTTGAATCGAGCAACCTACTGGGTTGAAGTGATATCGACTGGGTGATGATTAACCGACAAAAACTGTTGAGGACAAGCATATTTTTTCTAAAGCTTTAGTTTTTAACAGCAGTCAGTGTAGTAAACATTGACGATGAAAACAATCGGATGAGTAATAAATTATGTAGAAGATAAAACAATTGTACAATAACTCCTTCAAAACATTTTGTATTAATTCACTGAAATATGTCACTAAATAGAAGTCACTTATGAAACGTCTTCCTGAAATAAAAGTCTTCTGCTATAAAACAAATTCAGATTTAATCTCCAACCAGTTTAGTAGGTATTGCAAATTTGACTGTTCAGTTAAAAAAAAACTGGAAACGTATATATTTATACACTTGTCAACAGCTGATAACTTATGATTATAATATGCTCTATAGACCGAGATCAATAACCGATATGCTTACAAAAGAGGCATGCAAAACCCATTCTATTCAAACACACAACATATTAAACAATTAGAAGCGTGTTCAAGTCAAAACAATTCCACATGCGCGTGTCAGCGATTCCAACCGGTCTCGACCGTCAGGTTGCTGACTAAGTTCGGGGTCACGTAGTTAGCATTTTTGAGAAGGATATCTCACAAAGTATATGTCTTGAGAGCTACCACGCTGTGTAAGTCGAGTGCTTACATGATTTGTCTAGGAAACTGTAAAGGTCGACGTAGCTAAAAATTAGACTTGTCGCACTTGACGGAAGGGTGAAAACAGTAGTGCAAAGATACTGAAATAAACAAGTAATTCAATAGAGGAGAAACTAAACGTGAAGTAATGACGTGTTTCAACTCGCTTATCTATCTAATAAGTAAGATCCTACTTTTCTTATTTAACGTCAATGTATCAGCACTCGTTGACAAATGTGAATTTTGTTTCCCTAAAGAAAGAAACTGATAAATGTTTATCGACCGAAGTATTTAACACCATAAATAAAATAGGTTATTTGATTTGTCATTTTAACATTATGGACGACATGCACAAAACCGATTATTTAGTTATATTTTTGCACTCCATTTTCAACGAAGCGATCTCCGTGTCCACCAACCAGGTTAGATCGCTGGACATTCGCTTTCCGTTCTCTCAATTGTGTAAACAACACCCGTGGTGCGAGAACTTCCCTGGCAGTGGCTGTATAGGTGTAACTTTGTGAGCATTTCGAAGATAGCTAACTCTCCTAACCCTCGAACGTACCAGGGAATTCGGGAAGGCGAAGCCCCTAACACTGTTACTTTTGACTTACCACGGTGACATATAAAACCAGAAAGCCAAGGAAGACAAATCTTCTGAAGGTGAGAAATCCTACGAACAGTGTGCAACATAATTTACTAGGTACTTATGAAAGCATAAACATTGAAGCATAGCGAAGTGAACTGTGAAAACGTAACTGTTACGTAAATAGGCACGTTACACTAATTAAAGAATGGTTTTACTAGCTAATTAACAATGACTTCAGAAATATTGACATACTACAAAAATGAACTGAAGTACTGAGTAGTTTGCAATAAGACATATATGCATAATTAAGGTTTGGACGCAGTTTGACCTTATCGGAACCATGGTAAAAGCTATTATTTAACGCTAATTCAACTGCAAAATCAATATGGAATAACGGATATATCTTGCATTATTACTAAGTACCCAATCTCCCTATTTCACGGTTTGCCAAAGGTTGGGTGGTCTTTCTTACGGTTCAGGGAAATCTCCATACCCGAAGAAACTTTGGACTTTTTGTACCATTTCCCCCAAAAACGGATAAAATTTTCCACAAAATTATGAGATAGGGTAACATCATACTGTTTGACTAGTCCCATCATACTAGTGGTTAATTTAGCTTTTAAAAAGCAACTACGCAAAATGTTCTTATACGTCATCACTTTTGACTAACCCCTTTCACTACATAGGTACCTAAATTTGTATACATCAAGTAAACTGGAAATATTGTCCCCAGTGAATTTGAAAGTCCTCTTAAGGTTTAACCCCAATTTGAAGAACGGAATTGTCTATTGATCTTGTGTTTTCAAAATGTGAGTGACGACCGAAACTACACAAGAAAACTTAGTCGCATAACTCGGAAAAAATCTAAGGGCAACGCACAATGCAAAGTAGGCGCTACTATCTCAGAATTCCAATCCATAGAAATTGATTTCCAAATGTGATTTTTGAATTTTATTCATCTCAATCATCGTTTTTGTACTTGCTGTCAACTAGATTCATGACTGGATGTTGGTGTATACCATGCAACAGCTAATTCACCGCCTCGCTTTTTCTTTTACAATAAACGTTTTAACATTTCTCCAAACGATTCCACAGTACAGCATCCATTCCGGGTAGACTCAGAAAGTTCAATATTTGCATCTCTGACATACAGTTAATTTGTTTGCTTCCAAGTTATTCTCAAGATTGCACGGAATTTCCTACGAGTTCTATCGCATCATATCTGGAAAGAACGATACTTCAGGTGTGACATCTTTTTGACGAGTTTCATTATTCAATTCTGATGAGATATATGATCTGTCACAACTATGGATTCTTGGTATTTTTAAATCGCATTGGTTGTTTGTTAAGGGCTTCAAATTGAGTTGAGTACCTTGCTATTCTTTGGATGCGTTACAAGAGGTTAACATCCATCTTGTTTGGAGTTGCTATGATAGTTTCATTGTAGTTGTTTATAACTATGAGGGATATAACACCCTTTAATGATGATACTCTATAGTTTAATTAGTCCAACAACTGAACTATAAATGTGGTTTGTTAAATAATGCCTATATGAGAAGAGGAAGCGAGCGCGAATACATCATTCAATTTTTACAAATGCGTCATAAGTTTATAACATATATTGAGTCTGTTCAGAGGACAAACTATTTTCCCTTGTTAGAGGCAACTTAAGAGGTTGTTAGACTTGTAGTAGTACTTGTTCTTAACCATATAATATCTGAAGCTGAATATATGATTACTGAGAATATTGCCATTTAACATGTAACTCTCAGAGAAGGTGAAATATGATGATTGTTGGGGAGATTGACCGAAAATGCATGTCACTCAATGTTATATCTAGCTTTCTGTGCTAAAAATATCATGCTCTTCCCAGTTTAAATGTGTTGTTCCTACGTAGGACAAGTAAGTGTAGACTATGATGTAACTTACACTTGAGGTCTTTTAGATTCGGCAGTCACATCATGACAAAACTACAATTTTAGGATTGGGTCTCACTCTACAAAATCCATTGTGACTCACTGACTCATTTAAATATGTTGAATTAATGGCCTGTCTACATAACACCACACACTGCTATTAAATCAAAGAGGAAAATTTGTGTCAAAATCGATCCATTGTATGAAGTACGATAATTAGTACTAGTCGAATTGTTCTGGTGACCAAGAATTACCAACTTAGATTTTGTATAACCGGATGAATACGAGTGGACGTATGATATTTCGAATTCGTAATAGACGTGCGAATAGGATTATAGAAATTGTCAGTTAATACAAATAACACAACAAATACAACTGTAGTGGAAATCCAGATTTTTGTTGTCCACTTTACATCTTTTTGAGCCCATTATGTGTCTCTCTTGCTGACCATTAGATAAAGACTTTGATGATCTAAAACGTTTTCATTAGTGTCATAATAAAAAAATTGGAACAGACCCAAGTGACTCCTGAAATTATATTTGATTAACATGTCGGTTGTTCTTACTTGTAGAGGTTAATTCCTCTATATCTGATTCAAATATATAGTTTCCCGTTGACTGAGTATTTACGTAGGCCAAATCTCCGAGTAATATTATGAATTCAAAAACCAGAACACCAGTTGTAGGGATAGTATATTGTCCATAATTAGTAAAAGTCCACAATCAACGTAGAAGGCGAGCACAGAGAGAAGTGAATGTGAGTGAGCGTAGAGAGCAAATAAAAACAAACGAGATGAGCCACATGGACCAACTTAAATTAACTCAACACTTATAGTTAAGCAAACATACGTTACAATCATGTGATGAGTAATATAGGAAATACACGCATACACTTACATAAAAAGGTCAAGTTTGATAAGCGAATAATTAACTAGGCACAAGTGTGACTCACGAAGAATCAATAAATTGGCCTGTCCGGAAGCTAGAATAAAATATGTGGGCTTGACATAGCGACTGGCACTTCATACTTGGCTCACTGGCATCGACAACTTAAACCATAAATTTTCAAGCACAATTCATCACAACCCCTGTGGACGATCGAAGATCATCTCCACGATAATACGCAACTCCTATGGACACTAAACATCTAATATTCTAACGGTTAATCCATCTCTTTAATCATTTTGTAGTCTGGTTTGTTGTAGAGTGTTCACTATCCCTATATTTCCGCGGAAATGTTGATGCAGAAATGGAATTAATACCAGTTCTTAATATCCTAACGGAATTTTCTGTATGACCATTGGAACAAGAGTGTCTATGAGCAGTGGACAAAAATTTACGCCTAATATCATTCAACAAGCTGGGTGAGAGCCGTTATCAGCCACTAAGCTATGAGGGCCACATTCCGACTGAACACTTTACTTAATGTCTGGATCATGATATCAGAATTAGAGGAAGTTGTGAAAAAACCTCAGGCCGCTTAGGCAAATATCGGTGACAGCATGTACATAGTGTAGTGAAGGAGAATACAGGTGAGGACAACCGAATTAAATTAGGCACAAAATTACTGAGTTACTTAGTAAAATAGAAAAACTTTACTATAATACTTAATTTGCAAAATGTTCAATAATTGGCTCGAACTTCATTGTTCTTGCATTTCTTGATCTTCTCCCATCTTCTGTTGCCAGACATTGCATTCCTGATTCGCATCATGTACTACTTATATCAATATAAGTAGCACCTACCACAATAGAAGTTGTCGAGAAGTGGATCAAAACAACCTGCTTGAATTCTCTGTCAGCCTTCAGACGATACTGACCATGAACTCGTTTTTGAAGGTTGGTTTTCAGACTTGCTGTTCTGCCATCCTGCTCCAAAACTACACCAATACCAACAGATAGCACATCAGTAA